GGGGGAGAGTTTTAAGGGTGTGTCTCCTGGTAGATCACTATGCTCCAGTAGATGGCCCTACACCTGAAATGGACATCACAACTTGGAATCAATGGGTTTTAAAATTAAAAAAACCCACAAAGTTAGAAGGGGTAGGTAGGTAGGGGTGAACCTTGGAAAAATTAAGGGGAACAGTTGAAATCTCATGAAATTCTCAAATAATTAATAAACATATTCTTAAAGGGGGCTAGTGAGATGGTTCAGTGGTTAAGAGCACTGACTTTTTGCAGAAGACCCAGGTTCAATTCCCAGCATCCACATGGCTGCTAACAACTGTCCATAACTCTAGTTCCAGAGGATCCAAAACCCTCTTCTGGTTTCCACGGGTACCACACACATGGGTGCACTTACATACATGAAGCATAACATTCATACACATAAAATAAAAATGAATAAATAGAAAAATTTAAAAAGATATTAAAAAAAATCACAGTTCAACTGGATGGGCACTCAAGACCTACTATAGAACCAAGGAGTTCTCTCCTGGGCAAGGCCCAGCATCTGGCCTGCACCTGCCCATTCCCTGAAGGCACAAGTGCCAGCACTGTGAAGCCTACAGAACAGGGAGGGCTTGTGGGAACCTGGGGGGGGTCTGTGGGAACCCTGGGCAGGAAAGCACACACATGGGATCTGTGAAGTTCCAGGGCCCTGTCGGAACAAAGAAGAAATGACAGTTTTCTGTCAGCAATACGATGAAGATGCGATTATTTCTCTGTGTGCCAGACCATACGTTTCCCAAGTCCAATCGTTCCCTCTTCCTTCTGTGTTAATCTGCACACTAACAATAATAAGAAACCAAGATATCCTACACAAACACATTTTCTTTCAAATTTGTGAAATCTTCATGTGAAAACATTTCAGGGGCTTCAGGAGACAGCTCTGTTGGTAAAGTGCTTGTCTTGCAAGCATGTGGACCCGAGCTCCATCCATAGATCCCACCTAAAAAGGTTGGGCATGATAGCATGTGCCTGTAACCTCAGCACTGGAGACAGCCCATGATCCCTGGGCCTGTCTGGTCAGCCAGCCTAGCCTGCTTGGTAAGCTCCAGGCCAGTGAGAGGCCCTGTATCCAAAAATAAGGTATCTGGCTCTTGAGAAAAGATACCTGGAGATTGACCCCTGGCCTTCACATGAACTTGTACATGTACACGTGTACACACACACACACACACACACACACACACACACACACACTTCAGCCTATAACACAAAAGCCCATTTTCCTTGGGAAACATCACTTATTGCCAAGGCTAAAGGCAGCATAAATATGTTCTTAAGTAGAAGGTAAAGTCACAAAAGTACCAGGCTAGCGTAATAAGCAGATCTGAAGATGATTATTGTGTTTGGGGGATGAATCACTACTTGTCTGAACTGTGGGGAGGTCGAGGGTATTTTTAATTTGATGAATTAATCATTGATGCCCAAAGTTCTCTCTCCTTCCTATGAAGCCAATGCAGAAACTTAGCACAAAGTTATAAATCATGTCAGTGTTTGGGCCTCATTCCTGGGAGGCCTTGGCTATGGGTAAGTTATACTAATAATTTGTGAGAGGAAACATTATAGCTTCCTGGAAGGGTTCCCTTTAGGCAACTAGGTTAGGACAGTCAGAGAAGGGGAGATCCCAGATGATTGTGGCCCTCCCTGTGTATGGATCCCAATCCTTCTACTAAACAGTCGGAGTTGGGCAGCTCTAGGGAGAGGTAACCTATATGTTATTCTTAGCTTGGTAGTTTTCTTTCTCTCTCTTTATTTCCCCATCTGTATAGTGTGCTGAAAGCTCTGTGAGGGGCCATCAGCCCCCTCTGACATCTGTGTTTACCATCAATGCTTAAATATGACTTGCAATAAATCTGAAGCCTCCCCCACGTTGGTCCCTCGTTGTATCCCAAGCATCTTCTTGCAAGGCCACGAAGGGACCAAACCAGACCTCCGACAGCACAGCTGGGCAGCTGGACTGAATTCTACCCAAGCTGCCTCAAGTTTGGGATGAATGGTAAAATGAAACAAATTACACAGATCAATGTTACTACCTCTCCTCCCTCATGCCTCATGAAACTCCTTAGCAAGGCAGAGCCTTCTGAAAATACCAGAGCCTTCTCAGCCTCTCAGGCTCCTACCTGGGGGGTGGGTACTCCTTCCTTTAGCACCAAGATATAGCCCACAAAGATCCCTTTGTCCCCTGATTCTGGAAGCTTCCTGCAGTGACTTGGCCTCCTGGAAACGGTTCAAATCAGGACTCTGCCAAAGGACCCACTGAGCTCTCTGGGGGAGATGGAGGACACACAGCTACTACATATTCTTCCAACCCCAGTCTTGAGGCCAAGGGCTAGGCCTGAGATTCCCTGCCATGACTTCTTCCTCTGAGTCTCTCTTGACAGCTGATTCAGACTAGGCCTGAGCTTTGCACTAGGAGACACAGGATGCAAGCCTCCTGTGCTCTGACACCCCAGAGTGTGCAGTCAAGAGAAGCCCAACAAAGACCTGTCAACTGCCCACCTTGTACCCCATATTTGGATTCTCTAAGGGCAGCATCTTGGTGTCCTAATAGGGTGGGCATTGGCCCTGGGTGGTGTCAAGGTCTGTCTGTGAGGTTAGGGCAAGTTCTAACATCCTCCCCTGTAGGACAGAGATGGCACACAGTAGGTATTCAACAAATGTAGCTTTCAGATCATCCTGTTTTCAATGTCTTCCCATACAGATACAACTTTGTTCCTTGACACAATTTTAACCTCTGGAATACTTTGAAAACTTCTTGCCTTTTTCTGGGGTCAGTAGGCCGTGACCTTGTATCCTTGGGAGGCAATGGTAGGTCTGGGAGTCGGTCCCATCCAGGACTTTTGTGGGTTCCAGGAACTATAGCATCCTAGGGGGTGAGCCCAGCCATCCAGCAGGCCACACACAGTAAGCCAATTCAATGAAGTAGGAAGCTGATCACAAAGTCCAGGTCCCAGCATCTTCCTCCCAGTCTATCTACAGTTTTGTTTTGTTTTTCTGACAGCTGGGGAAATCTTAAATCAGTATTTCTGGGGCCTCTCTCTCAGAATATTCTGCTCTTTGATTACATTCCAGGGGACAGAATACACTCTTCAGGGGAGGCTGGGCTGGTGAGCAGTGTGGGGAAGGGGGCTTGGGGAGGGTCACACACAGCACTCTCCAGTCCAGGTGTGATGGTACCTTTACTGTCAACTTGACTGAATTTGGAATCACCTAGGAAACACATCTCTGGGTTTCTCTGTGAGGGTGCTTTATTTCCAGAGGTTTAAGTGAGCTGGGAAGACCCACCCTAACTGTGTATAGCACTACTCCATGGGCCGAGGTCCTAGCGTGAATAAAAAGGAGGAAATGAGCTGAGCACCAGCATTTATCCATACCCTTTGCTTCCTGACTGTGATCAGCTAGCTCACCCTCTGCCATGCTTTTCCCTGGATGATGGAGACTGTACCTTCAAACTACGAACCCTAATGCATCCTTCCCCTCTTAGTTTGCTGTCTGTCTGTCTGTCTTTTTCAGACAGGGTCTCCCTGTAGCCCCAGCTGGCCTGGAACTCACTATGTAGACCAAGCTGAACTTGATCTCACAGAGATCTGCCTGCCTCCGAGTGTTGAGTGCTAGGATTAAAGGTGTGTACCACCATGCCTGGCTTCTACCTTTAAGTCTTGAATGCTATTCAGTTTATATGATTCTGGGGATTAAACCCAGAGCTTTGTGCATGCTAGGCAAGCACTCTATGAACTGAACTGCACCCCTCAACCCCAAACCCAGATACTTAACCAAGAGGCACAGACAGAAAACCATAAAGGATGAATTATGTTCCAGTTCAAGGGAAATGCTAATAAGATAGTATTTGAACATGCACAAATATAAGCCTCCCCCCCCCGCCCACAACACCCTGTCAAGAAAACAAGCTGATGGTACCTAGTTGTCCCTAAATGGCTTGCCACCCACTAGAGCTCGGTGAAGTGATCTCATGATGTCATCATTCTTGACACCTTGCTTTCTCCTGGGAGAAGTCTTGAATATCACCTGTCACAGAGGATCTGGAGACTGAGTTGTGATACCTGAGCACCTGCTCCAGGCTTAACCAGTGACAGCTGGGTTTGGTGGGATGACACTAATCCCCCTGGAACCATGGTCTAGCATGGAACTTTAGGGTGACTGGGGCTTGTTTTGAAGGCGGCGGGGGGGGGGGAGCAGGTTGAGATGGCCAGCAGTGTGCTGTAGAAGAGGGGCTCTAACCCCAGAATGGCTTCCACCAGTTATGTGGTCACAGGCAAGTAACCTTCCTCAGAAAGCCATTCATTAAATGGCTAAGAATACACCACTTTGAGGGTCTATGCAACATGCTGGCCATGTAGGCGTTCATGAAGCACTGTCTGGGGAAATTGCTGTGGGTGTGGTCAGGAAGGGTGCAGCTCTTCCCAGCCTCTGGGAGTGTTGGCACACCTGGGTCTCAGAGAGAGAGTGAAGGCCCTCCTTTCAGACCCGCTCAGCTCTACTGGCTGAACTTGAGATAAAGTCCACCGAGCCAGGTGGGAGGGGAAGACAAGTCATCTCCAGCTGGAATAAATAATGCCTCCCAGCCGCAGAGCGCTGTGATTTCATGCCACCTGGAATAGCCATGGTGGCTCTGACACAGCTCCTGCAATTGCTGGATCCAGAGACGACAGCACCATGTTTCCTGGGGGCTATACCCTACACTCTGTTGTGGCTACCAGAGCCTCAGTATCCCAGGGTGACTTGACCACATGACTCACTCCCCCTCAACCCTTTCCTCTGGCATTTGGATTCATTTCACCTGAGGAGCCTTCGGGCAGACCAGACCCATGTCTTTCTACCCCTTTTCTTTACTACAATTGATATTTTGTTACTGGTAGTTCTCAACAAGACAGCATAGAAGAGGGAGCGAGGCTTGCGTTTGGGAGCTGCTTTGAGGGGACAACATGCATGGAGCCATTTACTAACCATTCACCTGCAGGACGTGGGTCTGGAACAGCTGCTCGTGACCCAAGGCGTGGCAGGTGTAGTTACCCGTGTGGATGGTGGTCACCTTGGTGATGTACAGGGAGTCATCCTCTCCGAAGTCCTGCTGGGCAAAGACAACAATGAGATTCACTTCTCTGTTGACTAGACTGCGATGGGCAGCTGGTGAGCCAGTTTTCCAGGGAAGACCTCCCTCCCTGGCACTTCCTGTGTCCAGGGAGGCTGTGCCAATGCCCCATCTACTATCCACATGTCCTCTGGCCCATCTCAGTGTCTGCATGTTTCCCATGGATCTTGCTCACCTGCTTCCATGTTCTGGTTCTGGACAGAGGGACTTGATTAAAGCAAGGGATTTCTTTTTAAACATTTAATTAATATTTTGTGTGTTTTGCCTACATGTATGTAAATGCATTGGTGTTAAGTACTACCCATAGAGGCCAGAAGGGGGTGTTGGATTCCCTGGGAGTGGAGTTAAGAATGGTTGTTAGCCAGCACCTTAAAGGGCCAGTAAATATTTTGGCTTCCGTGGTCTTCTGGTCTCTGTCAGCCACTCAGCTCTGCCATGATGGCATGTAAACAGCCAGGACAGTATACAAGCAAATGGGTGTGGCTGTGTCTGACCACATTTTATTTAAAGTGGTGGGCTGGGCTGGGTCTATGGACTCCAGTTTGTTTAACCATGGTTCAGATTCCACTTCGATCCCCAAACAATTTTAGGCAGCTTATGGGATCCATGTACCCCAAGGGAAGGGAGACAGAACCAATGGGAATATGGGGTAAACCAAAAACAGGGTAGGGATGTGAAGACAGCCAGAGGGGCAGCTGCGCAGGGTTTTCATAGGACGTGGCTTAGTGAGCCTTGGTGCTGTGGTCCCTGCAGCCTCCCAGGATGAGGTCTTACCAGAGACAGGGGAAAAGTGGGAAGGGGCCAATGAGCACAGGGCACCAGCACCTTCACAGTCAGCTGTATTCTTTCTTGCAGCACTGTTCATGAGACTGGGCCTTTCCAGGCACCAGCTGCAGACAGGTTAGGGGTTAAGATTACTCACTTGTCTGTGGAGATCCCTCAGTAGGTTTGGCTTTTGCTACCAGATTTGCTAAGGATATGAGGCTTGTTGCTGTTAGGACATTGAAAGACTATCTCAGCTTATGGGTGACTGTTCAGTGCTGTATGCAGAAGAGACAGCGGGGATTCAGGAGACCCAGGGTTGGCTGGAGCTCAGCCACAGACCAAATGCTCTGTAGTCCCTATCTTAAGTTGTGGACTATACACATGCCCTGTCTGCCTCATGGGGCATCAGGGACCCAGCAAGAGAATGTATGCAAAGCTGGGCCCAGCACTTAAAAGGTGGAGGCAGGAGGACGAGGAGTTCAAGATCTACGTCAACTACATAGTGAGTTTGAGGCCAGCCTGGGCTACATGAGACCCTGTCTCAAAAACAAAATGAACGAAACAAAATTGCACAAGAACAGAGAATGCATGTAAATACAGTTTCTCATATGTGCAGCAGGACATAGAACAGGGAATGTTATTGTTGCTGTTATTATTGACTGAAGATGTAAAACTTCACTTCTGGAAGAAACACCCATCGCCCTTCCTGTTCCTGTTCTGAGCTTCTTGGGTTGACAGGACAGAAGGCCACCAGTGACTATGCTCAGGAAGTCGGCAAGCAACACAAGCAGTTCTGAGGGTCACTCATGCTCCTCAACAGTGACACTGCCCCGTGCTCACACCTCACAGGGCCTGACCACAACCCTCACGAGTCCCTTCAAAAATGCCTTTGAGGACTGAGGATGTGGCTTAATTGCCTAGTACGCACAGAGCCCCGAGTTCAATACCACATACACAGGGTATGATGGTGCATGCCTGTAATTCATGCACTTAAGAGGTAAAGGCAAGGAGGATCAAGGGTTCAAGGTCATTCTCAGCTACATAGTGAGTTCAAGGCCAGCCTTGGCCACATAGATCATATCTCAAATAAGTTATTTTAAAAAATGATGCTTTTTGGCTAAATTAGCCCAACGAGGGAGGGAGGAATGGAAGGCGAGGGAGAGGAAGGGAGGGAAGGAGGGAGGGACAGAGGGAGGAAGGGAGAAAAGGAGGGAGGGAGGGAGAGAATATGCAGGAATGCTGATTGTGGACATGATTCCTCCTTGCTATATTACTAGAAATGACCCATGGTGCACCCAGTGGGGCACCATCTTGGAGAGTGTTGCTGGAACCCTGCACGTTAGCCTGGGAAACATCACAATGCTTAAAAGAGCCTCATTCCTACTATTCTGTGGAAGCCTCAGTAATAAAAATAAAACAGCAGATAGCTGATTTGTCCTGTGCCATAACAGAGCCATAAAGAGTTCATACCTGAGTTGCTTATGAAAAGTTAATGGCGAGTCAATGCTGGGACGACATATTTCTAGTCTAAGCTGTTTCCTGTGTCAGAATCTAAGTGTCGAGGACAATATGTTTTCCTTGGAATCCAGCGGTAGAAAACAGACTTCTGAGAGAGGGCTTGTAGGCTGGATGCAGCCCCTTCTGTGTGTGTGGTACAGCCCATCCTTGGGGAGGAGAGGCAGGATCCTGGGGAGTCCTCAGTGCTCCACATGGTTAGATCCAAGCGATTCCATCCCAAAGGGCTGAACCAGAGCTGTTTTATAGTCTGGTGCTGGGCCACTTGCATTTTTCTTGAAACTTTACACAACAACCCTGTCAGGGTCCTTGAAGGTCATGTTGGACTCTGGTGGGCCCTTCTTATCCTCATGTTGTTGGGGTTGCTAGTCATGCATTTTGGAGGCTGTGAAGTGATACAGGTGAGGGGCTTCCCAAAGTCAAGCTCTCACAGGTAACCTAAGAGTGGAACCCCATTAGCGTCAGCACATAGCATCAAAAAAGTTAACTGGGGCTAGGCTCTGATACACAGTCAGCCCTGACTGTGGGTTCTTCATGTGCAGATTCAATCAATCACAGGAGAAAATATTCAGAAAAAAGATGCCGACACAGACTTCTTTCTTGTCAGCAGCGCCTAAAGAGTGCAGCCTTAACCACTGCTCATGTAGCATCTATATCATATTAAGGTGCAGAAGTTATGTAGAAATGTTTTAATGGATACGGGAAGGGAGGCGTAGGTTATATGCAAATGCTGTGCCATTTTATACAAAGGACTTGAACATTCCTGGATTTTGGTTATCACAGGAGGACTCAATCCCCTGAAGATACTGAGAGATGACTGTTCATCGCCTTGCTTAATCTTCCGGGCTCCCCCTAAGATCCCAAAACATAAACTCAGTACCATGGGGTGAGTCAGTAGGACTCTGTTTGAAAATGAAACCATGTCTGATTTCTCTTATCATCTCCATTACGACCACTCCATACTTAGCTACCAAGGTCATCTTATCTCAGGAGCAGACAGCTCCCCCTATCTCTATCCCTCTGCAGTTTCCTCCCCACACAGTTTTCTCCAGAGCAGGCTTTTTCTAGAAAATGCCAGATGGCACACATGCTCACCTAGACCTGGTTGGGGTCAGTCACGGTGGCAGAGCTGTCTTTGCCCCTCAGCCGTCCCCTTCCATTCTGCCTTTGCCTTTGCACTAAAGTGCCAGCCATGTCTCCTACTGGAAGTTTCCACGTGCCAACCCTCCTCCCTGGAGGCTGTCATCTGTTTCCATCTCTTGAAGATGCTGGAATCGCACCCGAAACCCACCCCAACACTCCTGCCTCCTTTGCTTGTATACTTTCTCTTTGTGGCAGTGACTGCCATTCAGGGCATAGGCTGCATCACGTCATTCACCGCCTGTGAATCCCACTAGACCTCAACCCATGAGGGGAGGGGATGCTTGGACTCTGTGGTCACTGCTGTGTCTCTAGAGCTGAGTGCAGGACGAAGTGTATAGTGGTATTTGAGTGGCCAGTGAGCCATCTCTGGGGTTAGGTTCTGGTTCTTTCGTTTGGCAACCTGGGTTGCCCACCTTCTGTTTTTATATCTGCCCAAATGTTGCTTATCCATTCGAGGTCAAAATGCAGGTGGGGGTAAAAAAGAAGTGACTGGCAGAAAAGCAAAGGGTTAATCCCAAGTCTTTGTGTTTGTGTATGTATGCGTTCATGTGTGTTCAGGTACATATGCACATGCATGCATGTGTACATAGAAGCTAGAAGTCAACACTGGGTGTCATTCCTCAAGTGCCATCAGTTTGTTTTTTTGAGACAGGGTCTCCACTGGCCTGGGGCTTGCTGATTTAGACAGTCTGGCTGGCTAGCAGTTCCAGGGGTCCACCTGTCTCCTACTCCCCAAGGCTACCCACTGTGTCTCTTCTCCATCCTGTGGGCCTCTGAGGGATTCATAATTCCTCAGGCATTCCTCAGGCCAGGGCAACTGGGACGGACTGACAGCTAGGCTCAGGGCAGCAGCAGAGGCAGAAGCCCTTGTGCAGAGACCCAGATCCCACTGTCGACTGTCCGTGCACCTCTAACAAAGTCTCTCAGCTCTCTGTCTGCTTCTCTTCCTGGTCAAGAACAAGTCCCTGCTCCTTGAGAGCAGAACATGTCCTGGGGATGTCAGTCAGGTGGGGAGAGCCGCATCAGCCCCATGGGGACCTGATAGCCAAATGCATTACAACTTTTCTGTTAAGTACAGAGCATATTACTGCCTGTGGCATCAGCTCTGGGGAGAACCCGCCTCTGTAATAAATTAAATAACGTCTCTAGGCTAAAACAATAGGCATCATATAATTACAGAACGAAGTGCATATTGTTTTCTGGATATGAATACTGGTTGCAGAAATCAAATTTACCTCATTGGATGTGAGAGAATTACTTTAAAAATTGATTTATAAGAAGCTACATAAAATCAACCCTGCAATCTTTCCTCTTCTGAATGCTCTTTGAGATGTGTCTGAATACCACTGTCAATGCCTGATTGCATCTCTGTAATTGTTTTTTTATGGATAGCTTCCCCCCCCCCCATACATAGAAATGTATTAGCGAAATCACGGTTTATTCCAGAAGTAAACAGACGCCAGATTAGACCGTTCTTGTGTGGGTGCACATCCATTTTTGGGAAAGAGACAATTTTACTTAAAGACATGACATTTGTCTTTTTTAAAAGCTATTTT